ACCTGTTTATAGGTCATGTTTTGTGGGCTCTCCACCCAACACCAGAAATGTGTCTTCAAATTGAATTCACAGTTTATTTGATCAAATTAGACTAGGTAAGATTTACTCTAAGCACCGCAAAACAGTTTTAAAATCCTTCCTACTTTTCTATGAAAGCAATTGCAATTTGTGTTATTCGGCCTGTACAACTTCAAATAAAGAGACACATACTTGTTTTGAAGTTCAAAACAAAGATGCTCAGTGTTTCAGAATGGCTCTTAAGAGAGCAGGCTCTGCAAATATTGAATTAACAAGGGCTAGGAATTTTGTTTTGGATTCTTGACGCCATGATCAAAATCAGAACTGACTCTCAATCAGTGCTGGTATTTTTCTGGGCAAAGTATTGGCAAAGTAAATGTGTGACTGGTCTGCAGGGACTGTATTGTTCACAATTTGTAGGAGACTAGTTGAATTACATCTTCAAATGATTGCAGTTACTTTACTATTAGTTGCATTTATTTCTTTTATACATACATTTTTACAATGCGGTATAAGACTAAATACCATTTGGGATTTTGGTAGTGGGATATTTATCTTAATTGCAATATTATGGAGTCATACAGAAGTCTTAGAATAAGTAGGGCTGTTAGAAAGCACAAATGGAAATACACAGATCTTCACATAATGATGTTGTGGTCAGAAATGGTAAGCAGTTTGATTTTGTAAATGTTGCCTTCTTAATGTGGGCCTGAGTGACACAAAAGCCACATTAATAAAGCAGTTTGGTGATGGGTGATTTGGTGCCTTATACTCTTTGTGACAAATTGACTACAATGATTTTTGATTTATGCAGTGGTTGGACCTTGTTTGGGTCGGGTTAGCTCTGCTTGAATTTCTTCTATGAGGCCCTTAAATTCCACAAATTCCTGTTAAATCCAGTAGTGGACATGACTAATGGGAATGATATGATCATATTTAAACAGTAATGCATTAGGGACTCCATCCCCTTTGATCTGTCTGACCAGTCCAGAGATATGGTCGTTACTCAAAAAAAGTAATGTATTACATTATTACTTTAAAAAAAAAAGTAATATATTAATTTACTCTAACGCGTTACTTTACTCATTACTTTACTACTTTACTCGTAGGGCCGCCCCTCCCTACAGCCAGATCACGCAGACTGCAGAGGGTGCTTCATTTTGCGGAGGGAGCCTCATCTGAAGCGCAAATGCGGCGCACCTACAGTGTTACTCGTTACTTTACTCGACATCTTCACTCTGGATTCGGAGCTCCTCCTTAACTATTAGCTTCACGTTAGCATGTTGTCTTTGCAGGTGCTTTTTGAGGTTTACGTTGTGTTTGCAGCAGTGGATACAAGCTTCTGGCCTGGACACAGTTTGCACCTCACCGTCACATTCCTGTCCTTTCTTCGGACGAACTCAAAATAATGGGCATACCTCCACCCCTTGAGAGTTATCGCTGTTGACTCAGCCATGTTTATGCACTGCATGTGGACGCACAAGTGTTACGTAAATATAAACCTGCGGCGGAAATCCCTCTTGTCTGTCAAAGGGAGAATCTAGTGATTCTGTATGTTAGTAGGCTAACTGTAGTGTGTTTACTGATTTTATAAAAGTAACGAAGTAACGCGTGTCGGGCCATGTTAGTAACTGTTGTGTGATTACTGAATTATAAAAGTGACGCGTTACATTACTCCGTTACCGACAAATAATAATATTACTTTTGTTACACCCAATTCTGGTCAAGACAAGTGAGAGTTTCAGTGGAAGTGGGAGATGAAGTGGTGAGTTAATTGGCTTTCCTCCAGCTTTTTAAACCTGACGCCTAGCACAAGGTTTAACTCGGTCCTGTCCTTGTCTCTCTTCTCCTTCATCTTCAAGCCCCTGCCCTATATTCTGAGCTTCACACGTTCCCCTCTCCTTCTGTCTTTCACACTTCAGGGCTTAACACGGCTTCCTCTTTTCTTTTCTTTTGCCTCTTATCTTGCCTTCCTTGCCCTTCTCTCTGCTCTGTCCTTTCTCTCATCCGGAAGTAGGTTAGGTAACAGGCTGATTTTAGATATCCTCCGTCACAAGGTCTGGAATGATTTCATGGAAAAATCCGTATCCATTGCCAATCTAAAAGATTTACACTATAGTCCCCTAAGAAGCACTTTAACAGGCTAAACGCTAGATGAAACCCTCAAAGTATCCTATTGTTGGGAAAATCCAGAAACTTCATGGAGTTCAAAAGAACTATTAGGTCGGCGTGGAAAACAAATCAAGGAGGTTTGTGTTGAAAGTCATAGGGTATTAACAACATCACAAACTCCATTGCTACAATAAAACATTGAAAATGATCTATAAGCAATTACTAGCTGTAAAAATACATTGCAAAGGATTATTGTGTGTGTAAGGTCTTTAGATTTCAGGGATGTGTTCTGATGTTGTTGTTCTTTACTGTTTACTCTCCACAGACAATGCTGACAGCCATATCCATGAGTGCAATTGCTACTAATGGTGTTGTGCCAGGTAAGACGCTATGGTACTCAAACGTACACACATTTAAACAAGACATTTTGGTTTATTTCAGCATTCCCTTTTTATGTTTTTTGTTAATTATAATGATAACATGAAGTGAAATATAATTGCCTGATAGGCAGTTAGAGTGTTTCCTTTTGATTGGTTGCTGGCTAGGAATATAGTTTAATAAAGTTGTTAATTGCAAATATCACATAGAATTTTGTTTAGGTACCAGAGCTTGATCAAAAACCAATTGTCCTTGTTAACGTCAATCCATGGATGTATTGGAAAACCCATAACATCAATTTTTCCTGTTCTCATAAAACCATTTTCCTCCTTTTTCCCCCAGCTGGAGGATCCTACTATATGATTTCCAGATCTCTTGGCCCAGAGTTTGGTGGAGCTGTAGGTCTCTGCTTCTACCTGGGCACAACCTTTGCTGGCTCCATGTACATCCTTGGTACTATAGAGATTCTTTTAGTGAGTAAACACTATGCGGATATCCTCTAATGTTATCTCCAAGTCACTGTATATTCTCCACCTACGACTCTTACTCAGTTGAAAGGAGAAAACTTAGAGTGTAAACAATTGTTCCCCTTCTTTTTTCGCCTTCAGACCTACATTGTGCCTCAAGCAGCCATCTTTGTGGCTGAGAAAAAGGAGGACGAGGTGAATGCCCTGCTGAATAACATGCGTGTTTACGGCACGTGCTGCCTAGCTCTGATGTCATTGGTCGTCTTTGTAGGGGTGAAATATGTCAACAAGCTCGCTCTGGTCTTCCTGGCCTGCGTCATTCTCTCCATCTTCTCCATATATGCTGGAGTCATCAAGACCATCTTTGAGCCACCAGACTTTCCGTGAGTCCACACAATAAGTCATCTATTGAAAGATATGATGCTAAAATGTGGCTAATAAAGATGGTATTTTACTGTGGGCTGGAGTGGGATTTTGATCAGCTTCATAGGGTGTCAATTAAGAATCTCTATTTCTTTCACACAGTGTTTGCATGTTGGGAAATCGCACTCTGCAGAACACAAACTTTGACAGTTGTCTTAAGACGGAATTCGTAAACAACATGACGGTCACTACCAAACTGTGGGGGCTGTTTTGTGATGGACGTAATCTCAATGCCACCTGCAACGAGTATTTTGTCAACAACAATGTGACCCTGGTGCAGGGCATCCCCGGACTGAAGAGCGGCGTCATTTCAGGTAGGAACACAGTGATTCAACTGCAGGACTTTTTAAAACTTTTTTTGAACATTTAAAAGCCCTCCTCACCTTTTTTCCTGATGACTCTTTGAAATGTTCCAATACCTAATGTAAAACTTACTTGTGTACTAGTCCGAATTATCCAGAATACATTTTGTATCGTCCAATCTCATCCACCAATCAAACAAAACAAGCTAAATTGCTCTTTATAATGATCCTAAATGGAAAAAAAGATCAATGGAGATGCAGATCGTGTTTGTTGCACTTACAAAGGCTTAATACCAACACTTCAACAGGATTCTACACCGTCTTGGAATGCAAAGTTTTATTGATGAAAGTGCAAACTCAGGACATTCCTCATGTTATGTAACTGCTGGCCTTACTTAGCCTTTAGTGAAAATGCATTCCTGTCATATTTCTTCTGAAGCATCTGGGGCACGCATGTGCCCCGCTTTTTACCATCTCCATTTGATTTGTTTCTCTAAATTATACTTCCTCCCCTTCTGAGTCGAATACATTTAACTTTTTGTCCATTTAGAAGTCTGCACCTCTACTTTTACCAAGTTTGCCTTTTACTTTGGCTTTAACTACCACTTAGCAGCCGCCATTTATTTTTGGATCACTTCTAAATCTATGGACACTGATCCATGCTGGAAGTATTTCATTATATGATATTTCTGCTACAGTTATAATGACAGGTTAGATTCCGCTCTATTCCTCTGGTTAGGTCAAATTGTTTTATGACCACACTGTTTCACTGCATTAAGGCTTAAATGGTACAAAAATATTATGCTTTATTTTTAAACCCACTTAACTACTGCTTCATGTCAGTCAAGATTCCTTTATTAAATCAGGTCCAATAAACTGATTGGAACTCTTAAAAAAATGGTCAGTGTTCTCAGGCATTGGCTAATACTTCCGTTTCTATCTCTCTTGTAGAAAACATGTGGTCAACATATGGCCCTCTCGGTATGTTGGTGGAAAACAAGGAGTTGTCATCTCTTGAGGCGACTGACAATTCCCAGGACGTCTACTTGCCCTATGTGTTCAACGACATCAGCACCTTCTTCACACTGCTGGTTGGCATCTACTTCCCATCTGTCACTGGTAAGAATATGACATCAAAACAATGGTCCAAATTGCAGATCTTTTGTCAAAAATATCTAATGTTTGATTTGCTGTTATGACCCCCCCCTGTCAGGTATTATGGCTGGGTCAAATCGGTCAGGTGACCTGCGGGATGCCCAGAAGTCAATCCCCATTGGGACCATCCTTGCTATCGCTACCACCTCCTTCATCTGTATCCTTAACGCTATTGTAAAAGTATTGTCACATGTCTAAAACTGAAGGTTTTAAAAGGTTTTCTTAGATTAATCAGTTGGGCCCCTTAAGTGCTAAGTATGAAGCTTGTAAACCACACCTCATGTGGCCAGATAACACTGCAATCTAATCTAATTGGCTGTAGTGCCATTAAAACAAGAATCAAATCTGTCAAAACAAAAGACAAGGAAATCACTCGGATTGTGGAAAATGTGTGTTTTAAAGCTTTACAGCAAAGTGAAAAGCCAAAACTTGTCTATAGATATCATTTATTGTCCTGAACAGTGCTTTCCAGACGTCACCTGTGTGGTTCTCTTTGGTGCCAGCATTGAGGGAGTTCTGCTTCGGGACAAGTAAGAGCTGAACACAAAGCAAATACTGTACTGTAAAAACTGTAAACACCAAATTATTTGGAATAAAAACAGTTTGCATGTTATTTAATTTGGGTTTAGCTCCAACTCTTTTAGTATCCCCTCTTGAGTTCAGGTCTGTTTATCAAATATTATTAATACAAATTCATTTGTATCGCTTATTAAACCCATTTTGACCACTTGAAGAGTGGACAATTACTAAATTGTATTAATAACTTACATGAATGCGCACACTTTACGTAAGTAGTATACATTTATGTTGGGTCTTATTAATTCACAGTAGAAAATACAGGAATATCAGCTAATATTTGAAATACTCTCAGAAAAAAACTTGTTAGCAGTTAATAATATGCTTTTTTTTTGCATTTCAGATTTGGTGACTCGGTGAAAAGGAACCTTGTTATAGGCACACTATCATGGCCCTCGCCGTGGGTGATTGTGATTGGCTCGTTCTTCTCCTGCTGTGGGGCGGGGCTACAGAGTTTGACTGGCGCCCCACGCCTGCTGCAGGCCATCGCACGAGATGGCATCGTACCATTCCTGCAGGTTAGAAACACCGCCAACACAAACACAGGGGAAGCAGTCTTCATCCTCACGCGCTTATATTATTATTCTCTTTCTCTGTGTATCAGGTGTTCGGTCACGGGAAAGCTAACGGAGAACCCACCTGGGCTCTGGTGCTGACTGCTGGGATCTGTGAGATCGGGATCCTCATCGCCTCCCTGGACGCCGTGGCTCCTATTCTCTCCATGTCAGTTTCTGTTTGCGTAGTAATATTACAGGCTCTATTTCCATTAAATCTCATCACCAGATAAAGTCTTTGATACCTCTAGAGTTTAACTTCCTACAGTAAAGCCACTCACAATTGGTCTTAAAGTAGAGATTTAAATGATAATTAAGTAGTGTTTTGGGGCTTATTGTCTTCTTTTCACAGGTTTTTCCTCATGTGCTACTTGTTTGTCAACCTGGCCTGTGCACTTCAGACCCTGCTGCGGACCCCTAACTGGAGACCACGCTTCCAATACTACCACTGGTGCGTGATAATGAATATTTAAATCTTGCGTGTAAATAGTCCCTGCATTTTCTATCTAAATGTATTTTTTCACAGTAAGTCTATAAGGTCAGCTGACACTGCAGTTCTAACATTTGTTATTTAACCTGTCAGGGACCTAGTGTTGAGAAAGAGGCTTTTTTATGAAAATGTTAGGAAACACGCCAAGAATCACACCTAAACTCAACCACAAAAAAACATGTTTCATTGTGGTTTGGGTGATGTAGCCTTCAGTTCAATACAGGACAGTACTAAGCTGTCCACTCTGAAGTGGTTTCATTTGTTAGAATATTATCATGAATGTGCAGAAACCTGAGAAACAGTTGTTCTGTAAACGGATGCGTATGTATTTACGTACACTTTATTAAACTGTGTGTTTCCTCCTACAGGGCTCTTTCCTTCCTGGGAATGAGCTTGTGTCTTGCTCTCATGTTCATCTGTTCCTGGTATTATGCTATCGTGGCCATGGCTATCGCTTCCTGCATCTACAAATATATTGAATACAGAGGGTAAGAGGACTTTGAATGTGATCATTTATTTCATAGATCTAAAGTAAATCAATGGCAAGGAAACGCTCAAATATGAAAGAAATTTGGCTGTAAAACGGCTTACAGAAAATGAACTGATTTTAAAAGAAAAAAATACATGTATACAAAATTGATACATGACATATAGAATATATAATGCTTTTAAGTTACTTGTATGTGACATCTTGGCATTTATTGTTATACCTAAAAAGCTCATCTTTAACTAGCAAGAAATACATATTTAATGTATAATTTAAGGAGGGGGGCAGGTAATGAAGGCTCCAGAAAGCAAAGCCTTCCCTAAATTATTGATCCCTGTACTTTTATTGTACCTATTGTTCACACCAACGTTCCGTTAATGTCTTATATTCAAGCTACTTCTTTGATTTATTATGTCCAGCAATTAAATATCCGCTACTAGTATAAGGCTATGTTTTATAGTAAAAAAATACATTTGTTAATCTGATAACTCATAAGAACGTAGCTCTATCGGAGGGCTAACTATTCATTTAGAATTCTGTCAGAATGAGCAGGGGGAGGCTCACTACCAACGCCTTCGACAGCTCACCCTGAGCTTCTGTGTGGCGCGCTGTTACTAAAACAAACAGCCCTGGTTCAGGAAAAACACTGTGCCTGACAATCTGCATCTGTACTGTCAGTTAGTGCCTTAATCTCAAAGTATAGTAAACTAATTATGTCACGTGCTAAGTCCCTTGAGCTACAACCAGCAGGATCTACTGTATGAGCAGGATGTGTAATTCTTTGCGCAGTAACGATTAGTTTCTCTGCATTACCATCCTTTTAGCTCACTGCAATAGTATTTAGTAACTCCACAGATACTTACTGTGGTGATCTGATTTAGTTTGTGGTTATTCGTTCATGATTGTTGTCAAGGCATTTGATTTGTTCATTCTAAATCCATGCAATTGTGTTGTGTTGGTTTTGTACTATAATGCTAAACAAATAGAAATATGCATTTCAAATATGTAACCGTTGCTGTTATATTATATTTTATTTTTGTTGGCATAAAAAAGTGTATTTGCTCTTTTCTCAGCCATTAAGGACAATGGCAGTTACTTTATGGCTTGCATTGCTTAACAAACAAAGATTAACATTGGGATTATTTTCTTTTTACTGATATGTTACGACACTGTTGTTGAATTGTTCCGTCTCATCATGTGGCTTCTTGTTTTATGTGTGTTACTTACACATGTTCAATCCTTTGTTGAATGCAGGGCAGAGAAGGAGTGGGGAGACGGTATCCGGGGCCTGTCTCTGAACGCAGCACGCTACGCCCTCATTCGCCTTGAGGAGGCTCCCCCACACACCAAGAACTGGAGGTACACTGCACTGCTCCTGTGTTTCATATCGATGAGGTCACAGCTAACACAAGGCCACCTGATACTGTTGGACCAGATGCGAGAGAGACAGGAATAGACACAGAGGTTGAATTTGATTAATCTCTAGGTCCTTTCCCTAATCTGACAACAAAGATTGATGAGCCTTCCAAACTGTACAGAGACCAACACTGGCTGACCTTGCAGACTGCCTGTCCAAAAGTTTCATTTAAATTCTTGGCATGTTCAGTGTGGAAACTCTTCTGAGGGATTTGATGTTTCCAACTGTACAGATGGTTCCAATTAAATGTAAATATAAACTGCCTGCTTTCTTGTGCCAAACAAATGTGCAACTGTAAGGTTTCCTTTCATTTGCATTTGTTCCGGGCACAAACTCAATGTATTACAATTATTTACAAAACATGTCTCTGTAAACACACCATACCCGAAAAGGAGCAGGGAGAAGAAAATAATCTTATATTACCTGCCCCTTTCTCAAAAAAAAAAATACATAGAAATAGATGGTCTGTCCTTCATATTTTCTTCTTCACAGCCAATCATTGCAGTATCGTAGGAAAATAAGAGAAACACAAAAACTTACAAAAAATACTTAATTCAAAGTTGACATTTTAAGGGAAAGAAACAAAACAAAAACGACAACACCACAGCACCACATGAACAAAAAAAAAACCCTCCTCTGAGTCCTACTGGAGTAGAAGGGTTCTCTAAATAAATAATGTGCTTTCATAGTGGTGTTACTTTCCAGGGAAATTGTATTAGACTATGATGGGCCTTCAAAATGTTAGCCGATGAAGAGTCCATTCGTTTTCATTTGTAAAGAGATTTGTTGCTGTTTAAAAAACCTTCTTAAATGTGATGATCAAGCAATGAAACCTGTCCCCCCTTTCTTTTCTCTCTTGATGTATCCAGGCCTCAGGTGCTGGTGCTCCTGAATGTTGACTCAGATCAAGGTGTCAAGCACCCCCGTCTGCTGTCCCTCACCACTCAGCTGAAGGCAGGGAAAGGCCTTACGATAGTGGGAAATGTTTTAGAGGGAACCTATCTCACCAAAGACGCAGAGTCCAAAAAGGCGGAGCTGGTAGGTTTGAAATGCGTACAGCAGCATGCAGTCTATGATGGGGCACAATCTCACATGCAAAACAATGTACTCCTCATATATCTCTTTTTTTAGTCAGATTACAGAAAGCTGCTGTTAAAACAACAAAACTAATCTATTATCTGCCCATCCGTTAAGCATTACTGTCGAACTCAACAGCTTCAGGAAATCTGGTGCGTCAGTCAGGATTTACAGTTGGGTAGCATTTGACAGCCAAACTGCAGGAAACTCTGCCATCTACTGGCAAAATTGAGTACAACATTTGATTTATTATTTTGCAACCTGATTTGACCCTGTCCTTAAAAGCATTTTTAATCCATGGATTACTTTTTCTACAAAAGCAATCCCGCACAATCTGAATTCCAGATTACACAGTACTGTATCCATGGGCATTGTTTAGACCCATGAGCCCTGAATACGTGCTCAAGGGTTATTTTGAGGTAGTGGTAATAATAAACATGGAATCTGTCCCCATGAGTACACACATAGTCATTGCTCTACATTATCCACCTCCTTCATACTATACGTTTGCTGTTATTCTCTGTGCAGAACATCAAGTCTGCCATGTCAGCAGAGAGAACAAAAGGATTCTGCCATGTGGTGGTGTCTTCAAACCTCAGAGATGGGGTCTCACACCTCATCCAGTCGGCGGGGCTGGGGGGCATGAAGCACAACACCATCCTGATGGCCTGGCCTGGCACCTGGAGGCAGTCCAATGACCCACAGTCCTGGAAGAACTTCATAGGTACCAAGCGGCAGACCGTTTAAAAATATATTGAAAACATATATTGATGTAGAAATGCATGATCAGATTAATATTTTGACTACTTACTGTGTTTATTGCGTGTTTTGCCTCAAAATACGAGTGTTTGTGTGAAAGATTCGGTATCCATAACTGTACAAAAGCATACCAAATGAAAAATAACACAATATTATGATTGCCCTTTTTTTAACATTAAGCATGGAGGCGTGTGGCACAGTGGGTTAGTGCGCTGGTGTTCAGATCAGGGGGTCACAGGTTCAAATCCCACTGCAGTCAGCATGTCGTTGTGTCCCTGAGACACTTCACCCCAAATTGCTCCTGTGGGGATTGCCCACAGTATTGAGTGTGTAAGTTGCTTTGGATAAAAGCGTCTTAACAAGTAACATGTAATGTAATACCGTAATCAACCAGATTTTGGTTTTGTGGGCGTCCCTTTTTAAAAAGACGATCAGGTGAATTAAACACCAAAGTCACCATTGATGGTAGCTTTGCCAAGATGGAGAGTCATAACAATAAAGTACACTAGAGCCATACCATGCAGTGCAAAAGAGACAAAAGACACTCTCTTCCTTTACCAATCCAGAGACGGTGCGGGAGTCCACGGCAACCCAGCATGCCTTGCTTGTGGCTAAGAATGTGGACAGTTTCCCCACCAACCAGGACCGCTTAGGGGAGGGCACCATCGACGTGTGGTGGGTGGTTCATGATGGAGGCCTGCTGATGCTGCTGCCCTTCCTGCTGCGACAGCACAAGGTTGGTGTGTTTTTGTTTATCTCTAAGACCTCTTTAACCCCGACAAATTCTCTTTCCTCTCCTATTATCCATACCCAGAATCCCCGTTTCATTCTCAACTATCTATCTGCCTATCCTAGAACTCTCCCTCTTTGACACTGTTGTTTTCTTTCATATTCACGGAATCCTCCCCTCCTCTAGGTGTGGAGGAAATGTAAGATGCGCATCTTCACCGTGGCCCAGATGGATGACAACAGCATCCAAATGAAGAAAGATCTCCAGATGTTCCTCTACCACCTGCGACTGGACGCTGAAGTAGAAGTGGTGGAAATGGTGAGGCTTTGATTCATAGAATAGCATTACAGCCTCTAATGGTGATGATGCATTACTGGCTCAATCAGTTCGGTTTTACACCACTAAACTCTATCAAAGCTTTATAGTGGTGAGAGTGGGGAAGTTATGAGTCCTAAAACCCGGAAAAGACTTAACATTTACCACTTCCGGTTCCATCTCATCTCGAAGTCAATTGTTTTTCAGAGTGTTTGTTGTCAGAAGCGTGCAAAACAGCATTTGCTATTAAGGGACTAAATCAGACCACTAAACGTCATCACATTAGGACAAGCCTGTCGTTAGCTTAGCGGTGGTGACGCACAACCATACGACTTGAATACATTTACAATTAGAAAATCAGAAAGTGGTCTCAATATCCGGTAGGGATGTAACGATACCAAAAACTCACGGTACGATAATATCGCGATAACATGTCCACGGTATGGTATTTATCGCGATATTGAATAATAAAGAAAAAAAAATGTTAATGTTTTTTAATTTAAAAATGTTTTACTTGGAAAAATGTTCTTTATTAAATAATAAATCTGATTTGTACTGCACTTTAGTAGGATAGCAGTATTTTAAAGTGTCAAAGACAAAGTGACAGTAACAGACTGGAACAAGAAAACAAGTGTTTTTGTACCTACTAGTACTACTAAACAAAGTAGGCATTTCCTTTGTGACACTGCACCTCACAAATAAACAAGGACATTTAATAATCAGACCCCGCAATAAAATAAATCAAGTTTCACTTTAGTTTTTCAAGTAACTCAACTCAAACTCACTAAGTCACTCACTCAGCATCATCAGACAGGTTTTTAGGAATATGAGCATGTCCACATTTCCAGGTAGAAGCTGGGATGTTTGGGCGTTTACAATATCCCTTGCTGTGGAAAAAACTCTCTCACTTGGTACTGATGTTGCTGGGACAGCAGTGGTCGCGTTAACCGAATATTTTTTTTAACAATGACGGAAAAATCTGAAAGCAGTCTATCATTTTGACAGATTACAACACACTCGGAACAGCGCCAAAGTTTCCCAATAGTTTCCAAACCGTACTTTGTCGTACAGATCATTGAAATGTCTGGGAGTTTTTGCTCTACGCTGTGCGCGCTCCCGCGAGGTGCATGCATATCTCGGTGGGCATGCATAACACGGCATAACACCGCCCCCCCCCACCCGAGTGGCGAGTTCAGACCCGACGGGTAATAATGGATTATGACGGATATTNCCGCGCCTTTTTTCCCATTTTTCGACGCTGCGGCTTATATAACGGTGCGGCTAATCTATGGATTTTTACAGCTCACGGCCACCACCTTCCCATAGAGTTAAAGGTGGTGGCCGTGAGCTGTAAAAATCCATAGATTAGCCGCACCGTTATATAAGCCGCAGCGTCGAAAAATGGGAAAAAAGGCGCGGCTTATAGTCCGAAAAGTACGGTAGTCTAATTTGATCAAATAAACTGTGAATTCAATTTGAAGACACATTTCTGGTGTTGGGTGGAGAGCCCACAAAACATGACCTATAAACAGGTAGCTGATGTGCAGCCATCAGTGCGAAGTCAGATGTGGTTTAAGCAGAGATAATGAACATTAATCTGTTGGACTAAGCTCGGCTGTCTTATTATGTAACTGCAGCGGAGGGTAAACCCTCTGATGCACTTTAGCTAGATTGTAATAAATGAAATGGTGTCCCCATTCAGACAGTTTTCACAGCAAAAAAAAAGCTGGAATTACAGACACAGTGCATTTGATTACATTTACAGTAGGTCATTCTTAAAATAATAAAACAAAAGTAACTGTCTGGGATTCATGGTTTTGATTTCTTCTTTCAGGCAATACAAATCATTTCAGGTTAGATTCTTGCCTTTAGCATATCTGACGTTTGGTCAACAACCATTAAACTGACATATTTTCTCAAATGCTGTGTGTCGCTGTGTGGGTGTGCATGTCCCCATGTTTCTGACACTTTGCATAAGAAAGGATTACACGTCAAGCTGCCAGGTACCATTAGCAGCTAGGAGTATATCGGAAACAGATCACAGAGGCTAAATGTAGGAGGGGTCAGTAACCACTAAGTCAACTCGCCTGTCAATCTTTACTGCTGTCGATTCAACATTTGCACCCGTGTGCCATTAGAAGTCAAAGCAGCATGTGTCACTGAAACACTCAAGCACTTCCACACATATTGACTGTGCTAATGTGCTAATACTATGTTAAAGAGAGAGCTGTGTGTGTACATTAAGTGCGCTCTTACATAACTTTGCTTGTCCTTACTCTAATGGCTTAAACACTTAAACTTTGATTGGACAAATAGTTTCTACGTCAAGAGTCTGAATCAGACTGTACTTATCTATCTGGAAAAAAACACTGATCAGTAGAGTGTCCTTAATTTCCATTTGAAAAGTTACCATGGTAGATAACGTACAGTGGAAAGCCATGTAGGTCATGATGGTTGTGACTTACACAAGAGCAGCACAGGACGACACTAGCTAGCGACTCCAAGATGCCGGCTGTGCCCACAATCCATGTGAGTCGGAGGAACAGGATGACCCCCAGAATATTCTGGAGGCAGGGGAGGTAGACCCCCATGAAGGTCCCCATCTGAGGGCTCTGGATGGGAAAAATAGAAGAGCAAAAAAGATATTGAAGTGTAAGAAAAATGCTTAGGTATAAGAGTGTGTGGTGATCAGGGGGTGAGGAACTTGAGGTTAGAATTACAGCATTGTTGACGAGAGATAAGTCAGAAAAAAATGACAGAAATAGCTGTTTTTAGCCACTAAAATGTTCTGCTTTTCCTTTAATATCACATTAAACTGAATATCTTTTGGTTATGACCTGACAAAACAATGTCTAAAAAGATATTTGCTTGTGGACTATGAGAAACTAATAAGGACATTTTTCAGGAAATGTTTAATATTTTATAGAGCAAACGATGAATCAATTAACATAAAGAATAATTGAAGGGTATATGCAGGAATCCTGAAGTCAAATGTAAGATGTTTTAAGACCTTTTTTAAGACCCTTTCCATACATTTTAAGACCTCATCGCAACTTTGAGTTCTAACCGGTTACATTGGCAACACACTTTACCTCACATTTACTATATTGATTGTAAGATAGCAAAACTAAACAGAGTGCAGACAGACTACTGAAGCCTCCTTTCCACATGAACTTCAACCTCTCTGTGAAGGTCAGGTTTAATGCAGTATGCTGCTTTGTTGCTTCTGTAGACTCTGTGCTCTTTCATTCCAGTAAAACTCCACAGAAACCATTAGAAACCAGTATTTGACCAATAAACAAAACAATTGACAAAACTTTGAACTATGAAATATGTTAAACTTTGGTGAGCTTCAGCGGGGTAATGCCATATAGGAGCTCCCTCACAAATACCCAGGGGTTAAATTGGGCTGGGGCTGTCCGGGGCTAAGCCCTGGCACATAGGACGATGCTCTGACGTCATCACCCTCACACATTTATCATATGTTTACAAAAAAGGATATATATGTTAAGACTTTTCTCGTTCTTAATATAGACTATATTTAGGGTCTATATGTGTTGACTTTACTTTAAAATAGCAGATCTCTGTGACCGGATATAGTTTGGCTTAGACCCCGGCCCCTCGAGGACGCATACGGTAAAACGCAAACATGTCTTCCGTTCACACGCATTCGATTCATTAACGTGTCCGTTCACACTAGACCGCTGGAAATGCTGGAAACTATGTAGTACATATGTCAGGCCTGTAAGTGGCGCTGCTGCCGCCCGAAATACACCAAAAGCAGCGAAGAAGACCACGGAGCATGGTTGCCATGGTTGCCCTTCTGTTTATTCTCCGTGGTGGACGGCGTGTTCTCCTGC